TCCGTTGGGTATTTAATTAGGGGTAGAATTGCTCTTGTTGTTAGGTACTATCAAGTCCATCTGACTCATTGCAACCCCATGCAAAACAGAGTGAAATGTTGCCCAGTTCTGCACCATCCTCTCAGTTACTGTTATGCTTGAGCCCATTACTGCTACCACTGTGCCAATCCATCTTGCTGGGGGCCTGCATCTTTGTTGTTGGCTATCCACTTTATCAAACATGATGTCCTTCTCCAGGTACTGCTCCTTCTTACAAAGTCCGAAGTACAAGAGATGATGTCTAGCCATCGTCACTTTTAAGGAGCAGTCTGGCTATACTTCTTCCAAAACAGATTAGTTCATTCCTCTGGCAGTCTATGATACTTCCAGTATTTTTTGTCAACCCCATAAATCAAATGCATGGGTTCTACTCCTGTGTTCCTTATTACTTGTCCAACTTTCACATGCATATGAGGTGCCCCCAGTAAATTGGGTTTTTATTAAGTTGGAACTGATCTGATAGCACCTAACAACACCACCACACTTAAGAGTTGTACCAATCTGAACTTCCTCCAGCAGTAAATGAAAGTTCCAGTTGCATTGTGTCCTTCCCAGTAAATGAAAGTTCCAGTTGCATTGTCTTTTCTGTTTTAGCTACTCTGGAGGGGGAGAATGATACACCATTATATCACACTTCGTGTTTTTTAATTTGCATTTTCTTTTTAACTAATGAAGCTGAGACCCATTTGCTGTGCTAATTGGCCACTTGGAAGCCTTGAGTTGCTAACTGGCTAGCTGCAAGGTTGGTAGTTCAAAGTCACCAACTACTCTGAGGGAAAAAGATGAAGACTGTCAGCTCCTGTATAAGATTTTCAGTCTGTTCTACTCTGCCCTATAAGGTCACAGTGGGTCAGAATTGACTTGATGACAGTAGGTTTCTGAAGCCATTTAGATACCTTCCTTTGTAATATGTCTGTTCAGTCTTTGCCCATTTGTCCATTGGCTAATCTGTGCTTTTAGGAGTCCTGGTGTGATGCTGTGGGATAAAGCACTAGAATGCAAGATTGGCGGTTCAGACTCAACAGCTTTTACTTGGAAACCTTGTACAGAGTTGGAACCAACTCAGCGGCATTCAGCAACAACAATCTGTGCTTTTACTGATTTGTAGTTCTTTACATATTCTATTTTGGAATATGGATCTGTTTTGGAAGAAGTGCAGCCAGAGTGCTCCTTAGAGGCCAGGAAGGCTAAGCTTCGTCTCTCATGCTTTGGACATATTGTCAGGAGAGAACAGTCGCTGGAGAAGGATGTCATGCTGGGTAAGGTGGAGGGTCAGAGAAAAAGAGGAAGACCCCCAATGAGATGGATCAGCCAGGTGGCATCATTGATGGCGTCAAGTGTGGCAGCGGGAGTGAGGTTGGCCCAGGACTCGGTTCCGACTTGATGGCACCTGACAACAACAACAAACATATTCTAAATATTGATTTGTTGTCATTCTTAAAAACAGCAACAACAAAAAAACAAAGACCAACCAATAAACCCTATGCTGTCCAGGTGATCCTGACTCATAGTGAGCCTGTAGGACAGGACAGGGTTTTGGAGGCTGTAAATCTATACTGAAAAAGATTGCCTGCCATATGTTTCTCCCACAGAGAGGCTAGTAGATCCAAACAGCTGACCTTTTGGTTAACAGCCTAATGCTTAACCACTGTGCCAGTAGTGCTCCTATATTACAAATATTTTTTCCTCTGCTTGCCTTTTCTTTTTATTGATAGTGTCTTGGAGTGAACAGAGTTCTTGGTTTTTTTTATTGTGGTCTAATTTATCAGTATTTTCTTCATTGGTTAGCACTTTTTGCTGAGAAATGTCAAAAATTATTTAGGAAATATTCAGCTTCCCCAAACTCATTGAGATGTTCTCCTCTCTTATTATCTAGAAACTTTTCACTATTCTACCTAGATCTGCAGTTTACTTGGAATTCATTTTTGCAGGCACTTCACAACAACAACGAGACACTAGTCAAGATGTCTTTTTTTGTCTATAGGACTGATTATCCAGTTTGACTCACTGCCATTCCCGTCTCATCTCAGTACCATCTCCCCATAGTTTTGTAACAAATTTTGATGTATGGTAATGGAAGTTTGTGTTGGGCTTTGCCATTCTTGGCCCTTTGCATTTCCATAAACATTGTTGACTCGACCCATTTCATCACACACATAAATACAACTTAGCTTTGATTGACATTTTATTGAATCCAAAAATGTTGAGTTGACATTTTCATAATACTGAATCTTCCAATTTAGTAATATAATATACCCTCCCATTTATTTAAGTATTTTTAAAGTTCTTCACTACTTTGTAGTTTCCAGAATAGCAGTCTAAATATCTTTTAGATTTGTTTTTATTTTTTGGTATTTTTACTGGTACTATACGCTGTATAGGTTTGTGTGTTTTTACTTAGTTTTGTTTGTTGTTGATATATGTATAGAATTATATGTATTTGCTTTTATATTAAATTCTATTCAGTAACCTTATTAAATTCACTTAGTAGTTCTAATAATCTATTTGTGAATTTTTTAATGTACATTGAATTTCTGATTTCCAGGGACTTTCTTATTCTTTGTTTCTTTTTCATAGTATTTTACTATGATTTTATGGATGTAATATTCTTGTGAGTAGTTTGGATAATATTTACTAGAATTTGAGTTCTGCTTAGTTTTTTCATGATCTTGATTTCTTTCTTGGTTATGTACATTTTTTGTTGTTGTTTTTAATATGTTTTGATATTTCTTAAAAACAGTAAAAATTGTGAGAGCTGGACTTTGATGGCACCTGCCTTGTATTTCCATGTTTTGTGGCAAGGTGCAGTCTTACTACTTGTCTATCACTTATTTCTGGTGGAAAATTTGCATTTTCCTTCTCTGACAAGTTTCTGCCTTAATACAGGTTCCAGCATTTGCAAGGTTTACTGTACCAAGTGACCCTTGATTATCTGTTCATATATTTGAAGGATTAGGATGGTTAGAGTCCTGGTGTGGTGTGCTTTATAGGATAAGTGCTGGACTGCAAAACCTCAAGGTTGGTGGTTCAAACATACCAGCTGCTCCTTGGAAACCCCATACAGGGTCATTGTGAGTCAGAACTGACTTGGCAGCACACAATAGCAACAGGATGGTTAATTACAATACCTGATGCTGTTTTCTTCTTTAATTTGAGGAATTTAAAAGAATTTATTTTTATTTATTTCCCAAAAGAGCCTTTCCCTAAATGGGTTTTGCTGATTGAGAGCTCTGCATATGTTTGCTTTAAGGGCCAGATAGGTAGGATTTTGTTGTTGTTGTCAAGTGCCATTAAGCCGGTTCTAACTCACAGCGACCCTATATAGGGTTTCTGATGAGTGGCTGGTGAGTTTGAACCTCGACTTTGTGGTTCCAACTAACCTTGACGTCTAGTGCTTGTCCTACAGTTCCACAGGTTGAATATCTGTGTTAGATTTTTTTGTGTGTGTGTGTAGACATAGTGCTCTGATGATTCTTGTGTGTGTGGTGGTTTTGTTTCTTTTGTCCTTAACCCTCCTTGCCCCTTGTGTACTTGAGCAACCTTAGGCTCAGCCTTGCTTCTCTTTTGTTCTTAGCACCCGTGCTGGATGCTTTCCTCAAGCAGATCTGGATGCTAAACCTGGGAGTCAAAGTTAATACAGGAAGTAAGACTGTTATAAATGGCTCTGTTGGTCTGTAAGCCATCCTTTAATTACCTTGATTTCCCTACACTTTAATTTAGCTTCTTGATCCTGACTTGGCATTTTCTCCCCGATTCTAGTTAGGGGACTGGTAAGGACAGTTCTTGCCTCTTTATAGTCCTTCCCCATGCTTGGTTTGCTTGACTTGCTGTTTCTTTTGCTGTGGCATCTGTATTAATTCAGCCTCTTCCATTTCTTCTAGAAATAGTAAGTAATCTTTTTTTTTTTTTTTTTTACTTGTTATATGGTACTATTCCTTGTTTATATCTTATTTAAGTTAATGCAAAATCTGGACACAAAGTGTATGCATTTATTCTTCAGCTTAAATGAAACAAATACAGTTGAATTCAGCTCCTAATTTTCTTCTCTGATTATATTTTTTATCATTCATCTATTAATATTATATGTGTGCATCTATTAATAATCTATGTTTGTGTTTCTAAACAAAAAATAACATTGTTTGGAATGTGTTTGAACTTTATGTAGTGATATTGCATGAATCCTTGTGCATGTTTTATTTTTCATTTATCACTTAAGCACCTTTTTGAATATATTATCATTAAAAATAGGTAGAAAGAAGGACTTGGTGTTACCTCTTCTTGTTTCATCTGGTGATGATAGGTGAATATGATACCTGGCCATGTTACACAAGTGAGGCAATTTAGTCTTACTCTTGCTGCTGACCTCTATTCATTCTTATAAATCCTCTGGAGGCAGAGAAACACCATTCGGTTTCTAGCTAGAGTTTAGCTGAGGTTTAAAGGAAGAGTTGAATTCTTATTGCTGGAAGGGATTTTTAGAGACCTTTTAACAAAAAGTGAACTAGAGAAATTCAGTCCTACAGAAGGTAAGTGACTTGTATGAAGCAGTCCGGGGGGGTGGGAAGCACAGAAATTAGGAGTAATTATTGTACTTTCTTGTTATTTTTACTTACTGCAGTGAACCAGAAGTTAAGAGTTCTCATTTGGTAACATTCGTCTTAGATTTTTAGCCTGTCCTTTAAAATTCTTAGGAGTCCTGGTGATGCTGTGGGTTAGGCAATGGGCTGCTAACCACGAGGTTGGCAGTTCTAACACACTAGCTGCGCTGAGAGAGGATGAGCCTGTCTGCTCCTGCAAAGATACATAGTCTTAGAGTCCCTATGGTGATTGCTGGAGCCAGAATTGCCTTGATGGCAGTGGTTTTGGTGTGGTTTTTGTTTTAAAATACTGAGATATTTAGTAGCTGAGAATACATACAAATCTTTGAACTAATGCTTATTTTCCATGTTTTTCTTAGGCAGAATGGTTTCAATCCCAGAATACTATGAAGGCAAAAATGTCCTCCTTACTGGAGCTACTGGTTTCCTAGGGAAGGTGCTTCTGGAGAAGTTGCTGAGGTCTTGTCCTAAGGTGAATTCAGTATATGTTCTGGTGAGGCAGAAAGCTGGACAGACACCTCAAGAGCGAGTGGAAGAAGTCATTAGTGGCAAGGTAAGTGTGGAAAATGATCAGTGGAGGGGAGAAAAAGGTATGTGTTTGTGTGCATAGTTATTGTACTTGTACAGCTTGGTTTAGTTTCCAGTATTCGGGAGAGGGAAAAAAAGAAACCCCAAAAAACACTAGCTGGAGTTTCTACAGGATGGCAATAAATGAGCTGTGATGTATGATCAGTAAGAGAAATGAGCTTTCCTCTGTGGTGAGCAAAAGTGTGTAACAAGGTCTTAAATGATCTTTATGATATAGTTGAAGTGTGTTTTTCAAACATTTGAGGAATATTATTTCTGATTAGTAGATATGTTAAATAGACTTCAGAATAACATTAAGAGGTAGTTGTTATGCTATAAGACATTATGCTTTGATAACACTAACATTTTTAGGCACAGTTGTTCTCACAAACGGTAAGGAGGTAGATCTGTCATATGTTCTCATTAATTGAAAAGGAACATGATGACAGAGGGGTTGTATAGTATATAAGCACACATTCCATTAGAGAAGGGGTGGGAACCATTTTTATACCAAAATTTATAGCATCATTTGTGGGCTATACAAGATTATAGAATTAAAAATTATACTGCTGTGTTTGGTCAAACAGTTAATTAACTCACCCTGGCATGGCGTTGCAGGATAATGTCCAGACTGCAAGGTCAGTTTGAACCGCAAGGTCAGTGGTTCATATCCACCAGCCATTCCTTGGGAATCCTATACAAGGTCGCTATGGGTCAGAACCAACTCGAAACAAAAACAGTACTGTGATGCATGGAATTGTAGTTGCCTTGGCAGGGTCAGACCAAATGATTTCGCTGGCCAGACACTCCCCGCTCTTGCATTAGAGGTTGTTGTTGTTGATGTTACGTGTCCTCAAGTAGGTTACAATTTATAGTGACAGTGTAGGGAGGTTTATGAGGACCGGCTGATGAGCTTAGTCTAGTACACAGCACAGCCTCCAGTGCCTCACCAGGACTTAGAGCAATGGTAATAGTCTCCAGTATACTTGTGAAAGGATGAGAGTGACTAACACAAATAATATTTTTGTTTTATTATGAAAATATGTAGGGAGGGGGACATCAAAAGTTTTGTGGATAAAATTCCATTATCTTTTAATTCCATTTTCCCCAGCAACTTTTGAAATGCCTCCCACCACACACACAAGTAGTTTTTACTTTTAGACCACACATTGAGAAGTACCAATTAAGAGCAAACGTTTTCTTGAAGTTTTTATTGTGAATTAAGTGATAGTTTACATGGAAGAACATTGGTTTTACATCATTGTTTCATTGCAATGAAAGGTGCATCATCATTCAGCAGTATTTGCTTCTATTCCCTCTGTTTGTTTTGTTTTGTTTTTTTTGATGGTGGGAGGGATGTACACAAACCCACTCAGGATTATATAATCATTTAAACAACCAAAGGGCACACTGCAAGCCTGCCCCCTGGCCACTAACACTCAGTCTTTCTCTTTCCATGAGTCCAGAGTCCTCAGCTGCTCCCTCTCTCCATGTCCTCATCTCTGTCTCCATATCTGGTGTCGCTGCTTCTCTGGATAGGGTCCCACATTCCACTCATGTTCTTTTCCCTTGATGATCCTAGGCTCCTCTGTTTCTAGACTGTAAGATTAACTACTCCCCCCATTTTTGTTAGAAAATTTCTACCATTACAGTTGTGACAGTTGCAATTAGTCATGATATTGTTGTTCATACTATTTGGGGAATAGCCTCTGGTTTTGTTTTGATATCTCTAATATGAGCAAATTTTCCCACTGTGAGGAAAGATTTGACTTTTACAAATACCTAGACGCAATTCAAACCTAAGCATAAAACAGTAAAGGCTCTGAGAATGAAGTTGGGGTCAGAAACAGATGTGATTGAAAACTATGAACTTATTTTAGATACATGTAAGGAATTTGATTCTGCAGCCATATCCCAGAAAGGATTTCTGATGATAGCATTAGTTTCAGAATGAGAATGACCACTTATTTGAATGAATAATCAAATTCGTACAGACTTGTTTAAAAACAAAACAGTAGCAAAATCCTCCATAACCACCAACCTGCATTTTTATATTAAGTGAACATTATATACTTTTATGTTCTCTCTTTGTTGTTGTAGTTGTTAAGTGTCATGGAATCAGTTCTGACTCATAGCAACCCTGTATAGGGTTTCCAAGGAACAACTAGTAAGCTTGAACTGCAAAACTTTGAGGTTCAAACTGACCTTGCAGTCCAGCTCATTAACCGACAGCCCTGCTCCAGGATCTCTTTAGGTAGAGATTAACTGTCATATTACTTTAGCTTTTCTTTGGCATCATGCAACAGATATTCCTCATTATGTTGCTTTTATTTATTTATTTTTACTCTGAGATAAAAGATCCTGTCTCAGAAATTCAGAAATTCTCCTTAAACTTCTTAACTATTCAGATTAGTCTGGATGAGTCTCTGAGCACTGGACTGTGAACCACAGCATCGGCAGTTCACACGTACCAGTGGTTCCTCAGAAACCCTGTTATATAGGGTTGCTAAGAATCGGAATTGACTCAATGGCATTTTATAACAACAGTCTTCTCAACTATATTTTCTTATAGCTGCATGGTTTATCCTGAATAAAAATGTTTGTGTGTTTGTTTTCAATTACTACCTCCCCCTGTATCTACTCATCTTGGCATTGTGTCATAAAACCACTGTAATGTTATGTTTTAATTACTCCCTGCCAGGCCTGAGTAAGGGTTTTTTTTGTTAAGTGCTGTTTGAGTCAGTATTGACACATGGCGACCCTGCTTAGAGTTTCTAAGGAAAGACTGGTGGGTTTGACCTGGTAGTTAGCAGTATAGTGCTTACCCTACAGTGCCACACCAGGACTCTACTCATTTTTTATTTCTAGGAAACACTTATTATGCCTACTTAGAACTGGGTGCCTCACTTGATTCACAAGATTGGATTCAGAGATAAATAAGACGGGTTATCTTTCTAAATGGTGTATAAGAGTTTTTAAGGGACAGATGGGAAGAAAGAAAGTCTAGATTGTCAAGAAGAGATTAGATAGAGGGGTTATTGGAGTTGATGTCTTGGTTGGAATTGAGGGCTTGAGTAAAATGTGAAAGATGTGGACATCTCCTCTGGGACCTCCTAGAACTGCTTTCACAGTATAAGTATAGTATGTATAGAAAATGAATATTTTCCACTTAAAGGTTGAAATTTGATTTTTAAAAAATGTTTTAGCCTAAACATAATACCATCATTTTTAATATAAAAATGCTTTGCCCCAAATGTTTGATTACAATTGATGTCTCATTACATTAGGTCCTTTTTAGCTTGAGGCATCAGTTCAGTCCTGGCACAACCTACTGCAGGGCCGGTTAGTCCCCATTCTGGATAGTATTACTGGTGAATCCATAGAAACGAACCCTTTTTTATGCCAAGTAGCGGTGAGTGTGAGTAAGAAACCTGTAGGTTAAGGTCGACTATGAATTTGAAACAGGAATAAAGAATGTAGGCAAAAGGGATTTCCTGTAGTGGGACATTGACTTGTGGAAGGGTATCTCAATTTCAGCACCGTCAGCATTTTGGGCTGGATAATGCTTTGTCATGGAAGACTGTCCTATACATTATAGGGTATTTATTAACACTCCTGGCCTATACCCACTAAATGCCAGTAGTATTTTCTCTTTTTTCCATCCCAAATTTTGACAAAATATCTCTAGACTTTGTCAAATAGCCTCTGGAGGACAAAATCATCCCTGAGTGAGAATCCTGACTCATGGGAATGTATCAGGAAGAGAAATTCCATTGGAGGGTAAAGATTGAATTAAATAGTACTTATCTGGTAGCATAGTGGTTACAAATCAGGCTGCTAACCTGAAGATCAGCAGTTTGAAACTACCAGCAGTTCTGCGGGAGAAAGATGAGGCATTCTGCTCCCGTAAAGATTTACAGCCTCGGAAACCCTGTGCAGGGTCACTGTGAGTCGGAACCAACTCCATGGTACGTAACAACATCATCATAAAGTTAATTCTGGAAAGTGAATACAGTATGTTGTTGTCAGGTGCCATCGAGTCGGAACCGACTCATAGCGACCCCATGCACAGCAAAACGAAAGTATGTCCGATCCTGGGCCAACCTCGCAACCGCCGCCACACTTGACGCCATCAGTAATGCCACCTGGCTGATCATCTCGTTGCGGGTCTTCGTCTTTTTCTCTGACCCTCCACCTTACCCAGCATGACATCCATCTCCAGCGACTGTTCTCTCCAGACACTGTGTCCAAAGTATGAGAGACGAAGCTTAGCCATCTTGGCCTCCAAGGAGCACTCTGGTTGCACTTCTTCCAAAACAGATCTTTTGGCAGTCCATGGCACTTTCAGTATTCTCCTCCAACACCACAACTCAAAGGCATCAATTTTTTTACGATCTTCCTTATTCACTGTACAGCTTTCGCATCCATATGAGGTTATTGAAAATACCATGGCTTGGGTTAGGCACATGTTAGTCCTCAAGCTGACATCTCTGCTCTTCAATACTTTAAAAAGTTCCTGTGCAGCAGATTTGCCCAATGCAATACGTCGTCTGATCTCTTGACTGCT